GGAGAAGAGAATGGACAGATGAATTACAGCAGGTGGTAAAAAGCTGAGTCTGCTAAGGATTTAGATATTTTTCCTGAGGGTAATAGGGAACCAAAGAAGAGTTCAACAGGTTAATGGCATGATTGGATTGGCATTTTAGAATGACTGCTCCTATAATATATATAGTACTTTGGAGAGCCAGCAAGTCTAGTGGATTGCATCTTCTCATTTTGTAAGGAGAGCTGAGCTCAATCAAGGGTAGCTGCCTAGGGTGGGAGATGAATGGAAGCCAGTAAAAATATTTAGGATGTAGAATCAGTATGACTTGGAGACTCATTAGATATAAAATATGAGAAAATAAGAAGCTATGGAGAGCCTCAAATATTTCTGCCTTGATCAATTGGATAGTTTAGGGTGCTTTTAACTGAAATGAGAAACACCACAGAGGAGCCACGTTTTACGAGAAAATGAACTCAGTTTGAAACATGCTGTTTGCCAAGTGAAAAATGCCATGTAGACAATTGGAGACAATGTTTTCTGATTCACCCCTTGCCTACTGTCCCTTCTCACTCTTAGCAGCCTGCCTTGGATCCTCATGCCCCAGCCATGCTGGGTGCCATAGCTATGCTTCTCTAACGGAGCCCTGATCTTTCGATCCCAGCTGGTGGCATGTGCTGCTCTACCATCTTGGCCTCCCTCTAATTAGAGAGTGCCCTCTCATGCCCTCTTAGTACTTCCTGCATACACCTACTAAAACTCATAATTATATCTGTTGTTATATATTTACCTGTTTGCCTCCTTCATTAAAATGTAAGCCCCAGGTAAGCGGCTCCAGATTTAATCCCTTTTGAAAACCTAGCACTTAGAAGTATTGGCATGTAATAGGCTCTGAGCATGTTGGCTGAGCTAATAAATGGTTTAGAAAGTCAGGAGTAGAGATATGGATGTGAAGTCATCAGTGTATACTTATTTCTATAAAAGTACTATTTGTTATAAAAGCAATTGAGCATCTCAATTAAGGGCCAAGACTACCTGGATTTGAATTTTACTTCTGTCACTATTAGCTTTGTGGAGAGTAGACATGTTACTTAACCTCTCTGTTATTTGGTTTCCTTATCTGTAAAATGAGGATATTAGTATTAGCTACTCCAAGGTATTTGTGACCATTAAATAAGTCAGTACATATAATATATAAAAATGTCTGATACATTAGAGAACTCAAGCATTAGCTATTAGTTTCACGATTGATCATGATGGGTTTCAATCACATGACAGATTGTCACAAATTTCTTTTTCCTTGTTTCTCTTGTAACATTCCATCTCCCCTTTCTTAGAATCTAAGAGAAAAAGTAAGTTACATTTAACAAGGAGTAATGCTCCTTGTTCTTCACCATCCAGCTCCAAGTGACCGAGAATTGAGGCTAGTTTCATTCAGATGAAATGACTGTCGTTACAGTGTGAACAGTATCCTGTTAGGCTTCCTAGTAGTAGACCAGATAACTGGATGATAAATATACCCTTATTTTACTCTTTTAAATGCAATGAAGAGATATTTGAATCAGTTACATAATAAAAAAATCACAATGCAAGATAAGTAACAGGTCTGGGTTTATTTCAAAAGAAAGGTTTTATTTCTGAATTCTTACTTTCTTAAAGTATTTTCCTACTAATCACCAAAGATCAAATATCTCTGCAGACTTGAATGAGGTTTATATCATTTTTAAATATATTCAGTACACGTTTTAATTATTTTTTTAATAATTAGAGGTAAGAAGGATTTGTATTTAGCATTACTTGTCAGACCCATGAAGCGTTCTCGATAATACACAATTGAAGAAATCTGGGCATTTTAAAAGACAAAAAATTACCTAATATTTCTCATTTTTTTGCATGTTTCTAGCAGAGCATATGGACTGTAGGAATAGGAAGTTAAGAAATTTTAATCTAATTATAATTAAAGTTTTAACATAGTCTTTAGAGAAGGAATTTACTCATAAACAACTTTAATAAAATTCTGTAGAGTTGCCCCCTGACAATAAACTCATTTATTAATATCCTGTCTGGCCCAGGAACAAATCAAGATGTTGTATCAAAATACTGCCCCTACTCCAAGTTGTCTATTAATGTATTTTAAATTTTAAAAAATGTACTCTGTATCTAAATTTGAAGGACTTATCACTTATTAGATGTATTCAATATTTTAATATTTTTAATGAAATGTTATGTATATATAATATATATGTGAAATATAAGTATAATATATATAATTATTGAAACCTAACTGGCCCATTTTAACTACATAAAACAGGAAAATAGAAGATTTAGTTTGTAGTTTACTCTAAGTCTTTTACTCTCAATAACAAATTAATTCTCAAAAGTTCCAAAGAATTAGATAAATGTAAATATTCTCAATTTGGAGAAGAGCAAAGTTAGTGTAAATATTATTGTCTAAAGAGGTCCACTGAGCACTTCTCAAGTACAAGACTTTTCAGATGGATGTTTCTAGTATTAGATGGTTACACTAATTTTCCAAAACAAAAAAGCAAAAACCCAGGCAACTGTTGTCTTTGAGGCGTGCTTTTTTTTTTAATGAAAAAATGTCTCTTTCTTTGGGGAACAACAAAAGAGTCTGCTAGACCAGAAAATAAACTATGTCATAACAGTGTCACTGGACTATTAATACCAATGATTACTTAAGTCACTTAATCAATCTACTTATATACACATAAAGTCATAGGGATTATGAAATCGTCATCACTAATCCATTTATCTTCATTTATTTACTATAACATTTAAAATTTGGAGACCTTTTTGAAAAGAGACTATCTTCAGATAAAGGTATTTCTTTGTTCTCAAGAAAACAATACCCTCAGAATATTTTAATGGCCTTGAGTTTTCCAACGAAATGAAAAATAAATTGGTGACTATTTAATGTACAATTACTACCCAACAGTCAAGATGTCAAATGGGCACAAAGTGAAGTATCATTTATCTGAGCAGAAAAGAATTGGTAAAAAGTGGGGGAACCACCTTATGGGCTGATTCTAGAAATACACAAAGGTAATTTAAATACAATGATGACATCAGAGAAAATTAAGCATATGAAAGCTAGAAAAAACAAGGCTAGTAATAACCTCTCAATTTCCTGATGGATGCATTAGGGACTTCAAACTCTTACTAATGCTTTAAGGTATTATTATATTCTGTGACAGTGCTTAATAATCACTGTATTATGAAGCAAGAGAGAATTAGTGAGAATAAACACTATAAAATTAGAAAAGAGTATGATGTAAAGCTGTGACATATATCTTGTCTTCTTCATAATCTTCAAGAAGTACAAGGAAAATCAGAAGAGAAAAGTAGAAGTGAGTGTCCGTTTTGGGAAATTTTGTGAATTGGATACCCTAAAATACCCTCCCACTTAAAAAAGGTTATTTATGATGAGGACCATATAATAATGATGACTTGAAATGCCCATTTGAGAGTACAAGAGAGTAGGAAACCCTGGGATCAAAAATGCAAGATGTTAGATGTATTCAATATTTTAATATTTTTAATGAAATGTTATGTATATATAATATATATGTGAAATATAAGTATAATATATATAATTATTGAAACCTAACTGGCCCATTTTAACTACATAAAACAGGAAAATAGAAGATTTAGTTTGTAGTTTACTCTAAGTCTTTTACTCTCAATAACAAATTAATTCTCAAAAGTTCCAAAGAATTAGATAAATGTAAATATTCTCAATTTGGAGAAGAGCAAAGTTAGTGTAAATATTATTGTCTAAAGAGGTCCACTGAGCACTTCTCAAGTACAAGACTTTTCAGATGGATGTTTCTAGTATTAGATGGTTACACTAATTTTCCAAAACAAAAAAGCAAAAACCCAGGCAACTGTTGTCTTTGAGGCGTGCTTTTTTTTTTAATGAAAAAATGTCTCTTTCTTTGGGGAACAACAAAAGAGTCTGCTAGACCAGAAAATAAACTATGTCATAACAGTGTCACTGGACTATTAATACCAATGATTACTTAAGTCACTTAATCAATCTACTTATATACACATAAAGTCATAGGGATTATGAAATCGTCATCACTAATCCATTTATCTTCATTTATTTACTATAACATTTAAAATTTGGAGACCTTTTTGAAAAGAGACTATCTTCAGATAAAGGTATTTCTTTGTTCTCAAGAAAACAATACCCTCAGAATATTTTAATGGCCTTGAGTTTTCCAACGAAATGAAAAATAAATTGGTGACTATTTAATGTACAATTACTACCCAACAGTCAAGATGTCAAATGGGCACAAAGTGAAGTATCATTTATCTGAGCAGAAAAGAATTGGTAAAAAGTGGGGGAACCACCTTATGGGCTGATTCTAGAAATACACAAAGGTAATTTAAATACAATGATGACATCAGAGAAAATTAAGCATATGAAAGCTAGAAAAAACAAGGCTAGTAATAACCTCTCAATTTCCTGATGGATGCATTAGGGACTTCAAACTCTTACTAATGCTTTAAGGTATTATTATATTCTGTGACAGTGCTTAATAATCACTGTATTATGAAGCAAGAGAGAATTAGTGAGAATAAACACTATAAAATTAGAAAAGAGTATGATGTAAAGCTGTGACATATATCTTGTCTTCTTCATAATCTTCAAGAAGTACAAGGAAAATCAGAAGAGAAAAGTAGAAGTGAGTGTCCGTTTTGGGAAATTTTGTGAATTGGATACCCTAAAATACCCTCCCACTTAAAAAAGGTTATTTATGATGAGGACCATATAATAATGATGACTTGAAATGCCCATTTGAGAGTACAAGAGAGTAGGAAACCCTGGGATCAAAAATGCAAGATGATGGACAAACATAGCTAAAGCCATAGGTCTCCTGAGAGTCTTTGCTAGTATTAGTCCCTATGTTTTAATGCTTGCAAAGAGAACAAAATACAATGATACACAATCATGCACATAAGTTGTAAAGGAGATTCCAGTGAAGCCAAAACCTTGCAAAAGTTTTATTTTAATGTAAAGGGTGAACAAGAGTTAAGGAAAAGTAACAATGGCAAAAGACGGGGAAAACTCTTTCTCTAAGCCTGTGTTCTGAAGAGAGAAATAATTCCCTTGAGAAATTAAAACCATAAGCATATCTTTGGACAGGTTTAGTATTTGAACTTTTACTCTCTGATTGGTTCTTTAGACATAAAATAATGAATGAACGGATGAGGTCTCAGATTAATAGTACTGGAGTTCATGGAAGAAATGAAAACAAATGTTTCTTTCTAGAACCAGGCCTTGCAGTATTTCCTTAGATTGAGATTGTTCAAACAAAAGCTGCAGTTTAAAATAACTGAAAACATCAGGCTGGAGTCATCAGATGAGACTCAGAATGAACACCTTCCAGACAACCAGATCCTCAAGTGCCTCCGATCTTTGAGTCACTGGAAATGGAATATAAAATATATGTGTTAGAAGTATTTAAAGAAATAAAGCAGGATACCCAAAATATGAGCAAAAAGAAAACAAGATGCTATGAATGTCTGTGTAAGAATAATAAGAGTCTTGCCTGTAGCAGAGACAGTGGGAATGGAGAGATCAGGTAAGAATAAAGAGCATTGTAGGAGATTAAATTTAATACCTATCAGAGATGAAGAAGAAAAGTAATTAATGTGAATTTGATATCTCCTTATAAAAAATGTCTCACATTCTACATGGAATCCTTTCTTCCATTACTCTGGCCTTTACAAGGTTACATAGATGTGACTGTCTTGACATCAGCATCTAATCCCTCATATGATCCCTGAGTGATTGCCCTTTTCTCATCTCTGAGATTACCCTTCTTGATTTTAGATTTAAATATATGCCAATAGTAATTGCAAGGAAGACCTCTAAGCAGATTTTTAAGATAAGTGAAGTCATATAGCTTTGTCTCAACAATGTTCCAAGAGCAAAACTAAAGTCTGGTCAACTACTAAGCCATTTTTTGTACTGTGCCCTAGACCAGTGCTAATCAAAGTATGACCTGTGGGCAAGAACAAATCTGTGAAATGTTTGTTACTTCTCAGGAATAAAATGAGAAGCATGTGCCAGAATCTAACTCAAATATGCCACTAAGCACACTGTAGTTAAGCTGACATTTCTTTATGGCAAGACATTCTTGGTGAAGGGAATCATGCATTGGTTTCTATCCGGTCATAAGCCCCTTATCTCACTGAGAACTGGCACCTTGAGTAGCACAGCCCTGGACACTGCAGCCCTTACACGTGCCCAGCACATTATACCTGTTCAGCAGGTGTTTATTGAATGAAAAATTTGACTTAATGCCCAAAGTTGTAACATGCAAAATTCAACAGGAAGTATTTTTACTTCACATCAACATTTCATTACTATAATACTACCTAATGTAGCAGGCAACTAAGACTGTTAGAAGCCTTTGAGAGAAACAATCTTTAAGTACTTGCCAAAGGAATACTGCATTCACATATTATAATTCATATGATTAGAGCTATTCCCAAATCTCATGATGGCATGCCCACTGTGGCAGAATTGTGCTATGCTTGCTTTAACTGATAGTCTTAATAAAAACAAAGAAGCAGAATCAGAAACAAAAAAGGAACAATCACAAAGGACATCACATAAATACAAAGAATTATTAGAGAATACTATGAAAAATTATATGCCAATAAATTGGACAACCTAGAAGAAATGAACAACTTTCTAGAAAAATACAATCTTCCAAGACTGAGCCAGGAAGAAACAAAATATGAACAGAACAATTATCAGCAATTGAATTGTATTGGTAATCAAAAAACTACCTAAGAACAAAACCCCTGGACCAGATAGCTTGCTTCACCACTTAACTTTATCAAACATTTAGTGAAGACATAATACTTATCCTCCTTAAAGTTTCCCAAAAAGTAGAAGAGGAGGAAATACTTCCAAACTCATTCTATGAGGCCAGCATCACTCTAATACCAAAACCAGGCAAAGACACCACAAGTAAAATTACAGACCAATATCACTAATGAACATAGATGCAAAAACACTCAACAAAATATTAGCAAACCAAATTCAAAATTACATCAAAAAGATCATCCATAATGATCAAGTAGGACTTATTCCAGGGATGCAAAGATGGTACAATATTCAAAAATCCATCAACATCATCCACCACATCAAAAGAAGGACAAATACCACATGATCATCTCAATCAATGTTGAAAAAGCATTTGACAAAATTCAACATCCATTCATGATAAAAACTCTAAACAAAATGGATATAGAGGACAAGTACCTCAACATAATAAAGGCCATATATGACAAACATACAGCCAACATCATACTTAAAAGAGAAATGCTGAAAGCTTTTCCTTTAATATTGGGAACAAAACAAGGATAGCTACTTTTTCCACTTTTATTCAACATAGTACTAGAGGTCCTAGCCATGGCAATCAGACAACACAAAGAAGTAAAAAGCATCCAAATTGGTAAGGAAGAAGTTAAACTGTCACTGTTTGCAGATGACATGATATTGTACACAAAAAAACCCTAAAGAATCCACCCCAAAACTACTAGAACTAATAGCTGAATTCAGCAAAGCTGCAGGATACAAAATTAATACACAGAAATCTGTTGCATTCCTATATACTAATGATGAACTAGCAGAAAGAAACATCAGGAGAACAATTCCATTCAGAATTCCATCAAGAAGAATAAAATATGTAGGAATAAACCTAACCAAGGAGGTGAAAGACCTTATTCTGAAAACTAGAAGATATTCATGAGAGAAGTTAAAGAAGAAACCAATAAATGGAAACCTATCCTGTGCTCATGAAGAGGAAGAATTAATATTGTCAAAATGGTCATAGTTCCTAAAGAAATATACAAATTCAATGCAACTCCTATCAAAATACCTACAGCATTTTTCAATGAACTAGAACAAATAGTTCTAAAATTCATATGGAACCACAACAGACCCCAAATAGCCAAAACAACCTTGAGAAAGAACAAAGCTGGTGGTATTACACTCCCTGACTTCAAGCTCTACTACAAAGCCACAGTAATCAAAACTATTTGGTACTGGTACAAGAACAGACCCACAGATCAATGAAAAAGGATAGAGAGCCCAGATATAAACCCAAGCATATATGGTCAATTAATACATGATAAAGGAGCCATGAATATACAATGGGGAAATGACAGCCTCTTCAACAACTGGTATTGGCAAAACTGGACAGCTACATGCAAGAGAATGAAACTGGAGTACTAACTCCATACACAAAAATAAACTTGAAATGGATCAAAACCTGAATGTAAGTTGTGAAACCATAAAACTCTTAGAAGAAAACATAGGCAAAAATCTCTTGAATATAAACATGAGCAACTTTTTCCTGAACACATCTCCTCAGACAAGGGGAACAAAAGCAAAAATGAACAAGTGGGACTACATCAAACTAAAAAGCTTCTGTACAGCAAAAGATACCATCAACAGAACAAAAGGGCATCTCATAGTATGGGAGAATATATTCATAAATGACTCATTTGATAAGGGTTTAACATCCAAAATATATAAAGAACTCATGTGCCTCAACACCCAAAAATCAAATAATCCAATTAAAAAATGGGCAGACGGTCTGAACAGACATTTCTCCAAAAAAGAAATACAGATGGCCAACAGGAACATGAAAAGATGCTCCACATCACTAATCATCAGGGAAATGCAAATTAAAACCACAATGAGATATCACCTCACACCAGTAAGGATGGCCACTATCCAAAAGACAAGCAACAACAAATGCTGGCGAGGATGTGGAGAAAGGGAACCCTCTTATACTCTTTGTGGAAATGTAAATTGGTGCAACAGTTGTGGAAAGCAATATGGAGTTTTCTCAAAAAACTAAAAACAGAAATACCATTTGACCCAATAATTCCACTCCAAGAATTTACCTGAAGAAAACAAGATCCCTGATTCAAAAAGACATATTCACCACTATGTTTATTGCAGAACTATTTACAATAGCCAAGATATGAAAGTAACATAAGTGTCCATCAGTAGATGAATGGATAAAGATGATGTGGTACATATACACAATGGAATATTATTCAGCCATAAAAAAAGAAATCTTGCCATTTGCAATTTGCAACATGGATGGAGCTAGAGGGTGCTCAGTGAAAAAAGCCAGATGGAGAAAGACAAATACCAAATGATTTCACTCATTTGTAGAGTGTAACAACAAAGCAAAAGAGAAGGAAGAAAATAATAATAGACTCATATATTCCAAGAACAGACTAGTGGCTACAAAAGTGGAGGGGTTGGTGAGGGTGTGGGGAAGAAGGGCATTAAGGGGCACAATAATGTGCACTTACAATATAGGCAGGTCATGGGTACAGTAGTACAGCACAGAGAATACAATTAATGACTCTGTAACATCTTACTATGCTGATAGGCAGTGACCACAGTGGAGGGGTGAAGACTTGATAATATGGGTGAATGCTGAACCACTGTGTATTTGAAACCATCATAAGATTGTATACCAATGATACTTTAATTAAAATAAAAAGAGCAGAAGAGGAAAAATAAAAAAAAAGCAAAGAAGCTGAGGACCATTTTATCACTCTCCCTAATTACAGAAGACTAAAAATTGTGAATATTAGGGTATAGTTGCACTATTTTTTACCGTGAACCAGTTGAGAACTTGGTCCTTCTTGCTAGTCGCATGATCAGTGAACCTGACACAGCAGTTTCCACCTACTCTCCTGCTGTTGAGGGTCTTTTTTAATCACCTCCATTTGTGAAGATAATGGGACAATTCTACTATATGAATACCTGATTGTTCTTTCAGTTGCCTTCCCAGAAAAGAAATCTTTGGGGTTTTAAGCCTTGCATGGCTCTAATACCCCACTTTGAGCTGTGGGCTGTGGAGTACAATGGCTATATTAATTTGCAGGAACAGGATGAAAGAGCTTTAGTTGATTTGAATTTTTTTTTAATTTGCCATTTGAGAACACAGTAGCTCCTTTTAGTGCAAAGGTATAACCCACAGACAGATACTAAGTGAGAGAAGCAGCCAACTTACACTACATGAGAGAAAGAGCTCTCAGCCAAGATGGGTACACATGTCTCTAGAGCAGGCTGAGGGCAGCTTTCCTACAGCACCATCATGTAGCTCTATCTTTACTCTGTGAGGTCATCAGATATAAGCATTAAAATCAATAAAGTACCCACACTCCTGAAGTGTGAGATGCACATACTGCCTTCCTTCCGAAGAGTACAGTATGAAAAGGGTTGGGGGAGATAACTTTACAATGCAGAAAACTGACAACCTCCCTCAGCCAGGGAACAAGGTCAACATTGATAGTGATCAATAATGCTGCTAGAATGTACCCTGGATCTGAGACGGTGAAAACGGTATTTTGCCTTTGCAGTCTTCCTCCCCAAAACTCAATCTAATCATGAGGAAAACCTCAGGTGAATCCCAATACAGGGACATTCTACAAAACACCTGATCAGTATTTCTCAAAAAAAAAAAAAAAGAAAAAGAAAAAATCTGAAGATTAGACTTCAGTCAACAATAATATATTAATATTGGTTCATCAATTGTTACGATGTACCTTACTAATATAAGATGTTAATAATAGGGCATACTGGATGCAGGGAACTCTCTGTATTATCTTCAAATTTTTCTATAAATTCATAATTGTTCAAAAAATAAGTTTTAAAATAGTAGAGAAATCACTCACTATATAAATCAGGGTAACTGCAACTACTTGAGATACTGCAATAAAAAAATGTAATATCAAGAATTGATTACACAAGTGCTGGACAAGCTAAGGAACCAAACAGCAAGAACTGGAAGCTACAGCCACTTTGAGTGCTGGGGAAGGGGAAGACTTGGCATTAGCAGAGCTCAGGTGCTGGCCACCCAGAAGCAGCTGGAACAATAATGAGCCTGTCCAGGGGAAGATGGCACCACAGAGGAAGGGACAATCCAATGTAAAACTGGTCAGGAAATGCCACTAGAGGCAGAAAGAAAAGAGAAGAAATGTTCTGGCTCCTCTTCTTCCTCCAGTTTTAGTCTCTGGCCAGTGCCTCCCATTGATGGACCCATCTAGAAGCCAGCAGGCATGGAAGCTTGGGGAATGTAGTCATTTGAAACAGAGAACAGACGGGAAGGGCAAGAATGGATCTGAGAGTAAAAAGGTCTACAGCCAATGCTCCAGTCCTTCCTTCAATAAAATCTTAATATGTCATACTGAAAGTGAGAAGTTTGGCCATTTAAAAAAATCTATACTTTTTTATTTATAATGGTTCCTTCTGCTCTATAAGGGAAAAGTAAGTTCATATTTATTTACTTCCAGGGAACTTCAATAATCCCTTTCATTTTTATTCCCCTATTTTTTAAATGCAGTATGTTCTCCCTTTTTTATCATTTAGGATTAGCATTTCTCTTCATAAGTAGTTTTTCTTCATATACTTTATCTTCTTGAATTAACTGTGAAACTTTCTTGAATTATTTGTACTCAAAAGCACCCAGCCATCTCATCATAGAAACCAAATGTCAAAAGATTTGCTAGCTTGATATGAACATCCTAAACAAAAGTTTTGAAAAACCTTTTCTCCTCTGTTTTTCTTTAAAACAGGGAAAAGCAGAGGAGCTTTTAGTGATCAGAGACCACTCAGATATTTTGAATTTTCCAGCATGGCCAAACGTATTGAGAATTTGGGCTTAAGCAGCATTTTGAAAGGGGGAGAGTGTGTCAGTCATTTTAATGGGTGGGGCACTTCAGGAGAAACAAGATGCATAAAGTTTCTTTGAGACTTGTGTAAGTGAAAGTTACCAGATATTTCAGTTTTGCCAAATTTTTAACTTTTATTAAGACTGAGGTGATATACAGCATTCATGGATACTCTAGCTCAAGCGTTCAGTTGAGAGACTGAGTGTCGTAGTCCACCATACTTAAACCAGAACAAGGCACTCAGAGGAACAACTTTCTTCCTGCAGTGTTTGAAGAAATGATCTTTTCAGAATTCTTATTGGAAGCCCTTACTTAGCTGGAGTTCTCTCAACAGTAAGAATTCCATATGTCTGAGAAAATGAAAAACAAAGTTACTTCTAGGGAACCATATTTAAAACAAAATCAACCCTGATGCCAAATTAAAGATTAAATATATATAAAGAATATATGATTCAAAGATCGTTGGGTTTGGTGTCCATGAGCTGAAATGCAAATTTGAGGGCATGTTTTCTTTCCCAGAAGGCTCTAATCATGGCAGAGAGGACAACAGGCTGACTACAATACTCTACTTTCCTAATTAATTCTAGCATCACTAGGGAGGTCATCATTACTTTGAGATGTGCCTTGGGAAATTTAACAACACAATTTATGCAGAATGGTTGTGCCTCTGAAAATTAAAAGGAAATAACTGCACATTACCTCATGACCAAGACAGCCCCTCACGTGGGTGAGAGCAGGGAAAGGTATGCGCGGCAGCAGGGTGTGTGATCTGCTTCTGGAGCTGTGATAGGGAAAGCAGAACACAAGCCTTAAAACTCCTCACAGGTGATGAGAATTCGGTCTCTCCAATATCAGTCATCAGCAAGATTGATAAGTAGCCTAAATCTCTTTCCAGTTGAAAATTTAATCTTCTTAGTACACAAAGTAATGACATTTTCTCTTTGTGTTCACCTAATTCTAAGGAGTATGTCATTCCACAAACTGAAGGCATACTCAATGTTCTAGCTGGAAGATGTTTTTCTTTTCTAAAACTCTAGAGAGAGCTTTGATGTCTTCAATTTTCCCATCCATACTGTATTCTGCTTCCAGCTTGCCCTACTTAAAATAAGCAAGCAAACAAAATTGTTTACATAGTACATAAAACACCCAGATTTAGAGAAAAAAGAAACAATAATCCTTTCAGTCTGTATCATATGTAGCCTATGCTACACTTTGTCTTTTCCTTGTGGGTACTTAAGTTGTGATGGCATTCGCTGGTTGATGTTAAGGTCCAAACTGTTCAGTTACCCAGAGGTGGGGACAGCAGCTCTGGATGGACACTGTGAAAGGGAATGAGGAAGAGTGGGGTTTTGAAAGTCTGGAACCTGGAATCCTCCTGAAAACAGGAGCAAGGGGCCAATATGGGAACGAAGAGGAGATGGAGAGCTCCGATGGTGGAGCTGCCCCAGAAAGAGTATAGGAGAGTGATAAGCCAAATGCAGGGGACTGGTCAAGAGGCTAGTCCAGAAAGGGCAGAAGGCAAGGATTCTAGTCAGTGAGTTCATTAAAGTCAAGGATTCACAACCATCAAGCAAATGTAAATAAGCATCAGAATTTTGTGTGTGGACAGGTGGATGTAGGAAAAGCAACAGGTACAGTAGGGAACAGATTAGCAGGCAAGAAAGGCATGGGAGGAATCTGTACTTCTCAGTGTGCACGTGAGGCTTGCTTGCATAACAGACAAGTGCAATCGCTCTCAAAGTGTGAACCCAGGCCAGCAGCAAAGGGGATCACCTGGCACTTGTCAGAAATGTCAGTTCTTGGGCTCATCCCAGACTACTCAGTCAGAATGGGGCCTCTGGTCATGGTACCCAGATGTCTGTGCTGTCACACACACCCCCAGGTGATTCTGACGCTTCTTGTTTCTAAAATTTAAGAACCACTGAGCTAGTAGGTAAGACTAGTTTAAAAACTGGGTACAGCAGGACGCAGAAATGTCTGAAGGGATTCTTTTACTTGGAATTTGAATTTTAATCCCACATTACAAAATAACAACTCCCTTTTATTAAACAGGTGTGCCAGATAACTCTTCTTTGCCTCTTCTGACCCACGCTCCACCCTTTTCCACCCTGCCCTGTGTCCCACAGAGGGGCTGCAGCAAAGGGCTCCCTGGCTCCTGCCTGGATTTAGCGCCTGGGGAGCTCCAGCAGTTCAGCAGGAGAAAAGAGAATGAGGTCAGTTTATTTGCTCCTCCGCAAAAAGTACTTTGCCGGTTCCCTCTCTGTGGGGTTGCCTTCTGCTGCCTGTGTCATCTGATCAAGGTCATTTCTCCTCTCACGCTGATTCTCTCTCCAAGATTCTTTTCTTCCTGATCTGTAGCAGCTCCCTCCTTTCCCCTTGGGCCTAGGGGTGGTGGCAGCTTTATTGCTACTACGGCCATCTAACTTCCCTATAGTCTGTGCTTTGCCCACATTCCATCCACAGTTTTGCAGATAAGCTTTTTAAACATCTTTGGCAATAGACTCCCCAAATTAACCAAATTAAGGTGCTCCATTTGTTTTTTGTTGGGACTCTGTATCCGACTTATGCACCTCCTCAGATTCCGTAAACCCTCAGCTGCTTGCTCTCTCTGCCTTGGCAGCCTCCACCCGCCACCAACTCACCGCTGGGATCTTTGCTGCCTGGGACCGGCCAGTCACTTGCGCTGGGCCCTCTAGAACAGTCACAATGACCAGCCCACGCCTGGAGCCTCTGATTCCTGCCCCCACTTCCAGGCTTGAAGGGAATGAGACGCGGCACCCCAGCAGCCGTGGAAGAGCCCGGATGACGAAATGGAATCCAGAAGTTGAAGGTAGCTGACTGATGGGAAATAGGAGGCCAGACGGAACCAGGCCGACCCGCTCTGATTCATGGCTTTTCCTTATGGCCGTTAGGAATGTCTCCCGGGCAAGCCCAGTACCCCCCGAGCAAGGGGCCGTGTCTCTTCATGACCCGCAGTGAAGGGGCAGCCAGCATGGTCAGGCCTCACTGCCTGGGACTTTGCGCTCTTCTTTGCCTCGCTTCCACTTTTCCCATTTTGCCGCCTCAGTTTTGTGAGGTTCAAAGTGAGACGCGGCACTTTCATCCTAGCCTAAGGTCCTATTATGTAGAGATCCTTGGTTAAATCACCTGCTGGCTTAGACTATTATAGGTAACATGACCATAAAAGAGAGGCAATAAAATAAAGGCACACAGACCAGGGTTATTTGGTGATAATGTCCTATGCTTCCCAGCCAGATGAAGCTAAGGAATGTCATCTTGGGTATTTTCAATGTTTCCTTGCTTACACTGACCTGTGTCACAGTATGGCCAATCTTCTCCGGTGCCCTATGTCATCTTTGTACAGGTATGAAGATAAGAAAATAGGTATGAAAATAATTAAAGAAACAGATAATTTTAAATAGTTTGGCTAATGGGTAAAGATAATAGACCTAAAGCACATTAAGCTATAACACATCAAGGTAGATGCTCATTTTTAAAAGATACTAACTTACATGGCAGAAATTAGTTAATTTAGGCAGTAGAAACTGTAAATTCATGTACTCGGGTAAATCATAGAAAAAATGTTTTGCAGCGAGAATGGAATACAATTACAAATAAGAAATGATAACAAACATAACACTAACAGTCCATTCAAGTATCACTTATTAAGCAATTACTACCTGACAGGAATAGTACCAAATATTCTCATACAATATATCATTTAATCCTTACCAAATTCTCTCCAATAGGCATATTCTCCACACTTTGAAGTTGAAAGAATTAAAAATTAAAAGGTTAAGTGATTTGCTCAAGATTACAGTTATTTAATGTCTTGACATGGAGATCTTAAGCACCAGAAAATAACACAACCAGCTATTTAGATAAGAAAGAAATCTTGCCATTTGTGACAACATGGATGCACCTAAATTGTATTATGTTAAGTGAGATAAACCAGGCAGAGAAAGACAAATGTCATGTGATTCATTTACAGAATCTAAAAATAAAACAGAAGAAAATGAATAGCAATAAACACATATACACTGAGGAGTGACCTGTGGCTACCATGGGGTTTGGGTGGGTACTGAAACAGATGAAGGGGGTAAAGTGGCATAAAATTTCAATCATAGGTTAGTCACAGGGAAGAAAGTACAGCATTGAGAATATAGTCCATAGTTCTGTAATGTCTTTCTATGTTGATGGTAAATACACTAGCCGGGTTGAGGCTTTAATAATATACGTAACTGTCAAATCACTATGTTGTATACTTGAAACCAATATAATATCGTATATCAACTATACTTCAATTTAAAAAAAAAAGAATGGTTTAATTTGACAGCTCTGGTATGACTACATGAGTAGAAAATCTTAGAGGTGAAAGGGACCATCAAGAAAAATTGATCGAAGAACCAGTGGCACTGTGCATGCCCTCCCACCCAGCACCGTCAGGGACACAGCCTTCATTCATTGCTGTTGTGGTGAGGGAGACCCCATGCCACGGCAGTTGGATATCTTAATAAATCTTATCTGGAAGACAGGAGGAATGAAATGAAGCTAAAGTCTTCATTGATAAAGAAGCAGTCAGTCACTCATTCTAGCTGGCATATGGGCATGTGTGATCATTTCTGTGGTTTGGGCAGTATTTATGCCTTAGTGTTCAGGCATGATTACACGGTGGTTTTGTCTGATGGTCCGTGCCCTGGGGAATGTATGCCCGACAGGAGAATAATAACAAGATGTAGCTATGAGTGTCAGACAGCTACTGTGAAAGGCAGTTTTTCTTTCTACCATTGACAACAAAAGCGATCACTCCATGTTCATGTGTTTTCTATCCAGTTTCTGCACAGATTCTTTTATTCACTTTAGGTAACAGTGAGAAACTCAATGTTCACCCCCATAGTTTTATATTGCCAATATTACACCTTGTCTTACAAAAAAGGCAAATCTTTTAAATAAAGGGCTACTCAAAGGCAACATTTTGTTCTTGGCACTCATTTTATTTTTCATCTTTAAAATATTGTTTTGAAATGCAAGAGGCAATTGTATATGAAAACTAATTTTAAGAAAATCTGTTGTAAAATAGCAGTTAGAAGACGGAAAATTTCTCTCACTTTATGGTTTTTCAGAATCTACTGAAATAACATTTTAAGAATAAAAATAAAGAACATATGAAAATGCATGATTTTCTGTTTGAAATTTAGCATATATGGTCTTTTATAAAAGTATGATTGTCTTAAGAAATTCAAACAAGTTACAAGAGATTACAATTTAGAAAATGAAAACCCCTCAACTCCCATCTCTCAGAGAAAATCATTAATAAACATTTTTGAATGCCATGTATATATTTTTAATCTACAAATGTAAAAAGGAATCATACCATCCATACTGTTATATACCATTTTACACATAAATTTAGTGTATCCAGTGAAATGGATTTTCTTGATGTATTATAGTTGACCCAATTCCTTATTATGTTTAACTAGGTTTTTTCACCAATTTTCACTAAAATGTCATTAGTAGAGAAGTTTTCCCTGATCACTACTTTTTTAACTCTCTTTCACTTTCAAATATTCTCTCTTTATCCCTGCTTTATTTTTTATTATAATTGCCTTTGATATTTTATTATATAAATATCTTTTTATCATTCATTTCTCTTATGGAAATCTCAGCTTCATAGGGAATATTGTCTTTTTTATGCCTATTAAACTATATAACCTAGCATCCGCCAGTTACTAGGTAAGTAGTTGTAAAATAAATGAATGAATGAAATTATTAAATATTTCAAAATACTTTCTTCACTGTGCAAACATAAATGAGGAGGATATATAAAGTCATTTTTGTATGTGCTTCAGAAGTAGACAGGCAATGAATTTTTTAATATTATTAACTCCAGAAGGAAGGACCTAGAAAAATCTAATTTTCAAACCATGACTCAGAGAGTAGTTCATAACAATAAAATCAGCTCTTCTTATCTCTAAACTAATACTAATGTCAAAATACTCCTGCTGGTCTATCTTTTCTGATCACAGAATTACATATCAATAGAGTGTTTTATGTAATTATAAATGTTTGTATTTCTGTCATATGCAATAAGAACCGGGAAGAGGTAGGTTTGCAAATCGAACTAGATAATAGCATTTCATTTATTTAGTCTATTCTGACAAAATTTCCATGATAATCTAGCACAACCTTCAGAACATATTGTTATTTTCAAATCCAGTTATGATTATTTATTAAAAGCGTTTTAGCAGAGTGATTTCATCCCAGTTATCAAATAATTAGGAAAGTTGGTGGTTCAGGCTCATTTAAAACTGTGATACATGAAATCATATGAAAATTAGTTTTACAAACTAACTGTAAATGATAATCACACTGGGCTAGTTATGCTTATAAGCAGATTAATTGGTAATTTTACTTTCTCATTAAAAATGTAATCTTGCTACCAAATTTATCTTATGTATACACATTTCCTTATATTTTGTCTTTCAAATTCATGTTTCTATGCTCTTCAGGATAAGAACTTCTGCATTAAGAAGAAATATATAATTGGTTTAAAGCAGCAAAGATATAATAGCTAATATTCAGATAAAAAATTTGAATTAACTCTCATTATGTGCTCCTCAATGAAATAGGGAATCACAGCATCATATTCGATATTTAGCATTTTTTTAAAAATGCCTTTACTTGCTATAATTAAATAATACAAGATAAGTTAATTACATATTTGTAAATTATACTTTATTCCACTTAAGCACAATCAATCTTAACATCTTTAGGGTATGACAGTCCGACATTTTATATCTCCTTATGTGACACAATAAGAAATACACTTCACTAATGTATTCTTGCCAAAAATGTCTGACTTAACCTAATCATAAGGGCTTACTAAACCAATTGAGAATATGGCACATTTTATAAGGGAACTGGCCTGTATCTGTTAAAATACTCAAAACCATGAAAATAATAAAATGAAAACAAAAGCTGATTGGGGATTTCTACTCTTACATAGTAAGATAGAGTAAAGGCTAAATATAACAACCCAAAAGCTATGCAGGAGCTTTGGTTACAGCTTATGGGTCTTATTACCTAAAACAAATGAATAAACAAAGGAAGGAAGATTAAATAACCATTAAAACACATATCTTATATAATTGGGGAAATTTAAATATCAACTGTACATGATATTTTTGTATCAGTGATCATTCTCTTAGATTAATTTAGAAGACTGCTTTATTTTTATAAATGAATACTGAAGATGAAGTGTCATGGTTTCTGCAACTCAAGTTCAACTGATTCAACCAAAAAATTGTCTCTGTGTGTGTGTGTGTGTGTGTGTATCTGTACAGTGAGAGAGTGAATGTGTGAGTGAGAGGATGTGGCAAAATTAGGAAACTATAAGTGAACTTCTGTGAAGGATATGTAGATAATCTTTGTATTAGTTTTTCAATTTCTCTGTAGGTTTGAAAATTTAACAATAACAAAGTTGGGAAGCAAGAGCACTTTTATTTTTATATGTCTCTATGAGCTATAGAGAATATCTTTTTTCTTTAAAAGTTACCTTGATTCTTTTCATTCTCTTCAAAAATGTTTTAGTTTTATTTAGGATCACTCAATTCATATGACAACTGAAACAAAAATTTGTATTTCTGATTAACCATGCCTATAATTGACAGAAGTACCAAAAGGAGCTCTATTGAGAACATGCCTCTGAGTTTTAACATCATGGATTTGTACTATTTGTTAGCAGGGAAAAATAAAGTATTGGGAAATCTATTTCTACATTTAGCTCTTATCTCAAAGGCATGACTCAATTCTTTCAAAAATAGCCCCCATTTAACTCCATAACATTACTTAATACTTAGATTACTGACACTTTGGAAGGACAGTTAACTTTTGCTTATACACAATATATAGGAATATGATAGGTGTTCAGTAAATTAATACAAAAGACAATCAAAACAGTTAAATGTATTCACTTATTCATGATCATTTACTATATGAAAGGTATTGTGTGGGCTTATCAGAGAAGTTTTAGAGGTGAATATGACTTGATTCTTGCCCTTATGGAATTTTCAGGCAAGCTGGAAAAATAAGAGACTTGCCTGCTCTCAGGATCTGTTCTCATCTCCCCTCTGGCCATCAGATTCATAATTACAGTCAAATATTGCCCTCCTAACTAGGGAAGTGTTGGCCCTGCTAATGTATGAAAGGGACTGGACACCAAAGACACTACCAAACCTGGCTCGTTTGTGCTCGCAGGAAGCAGGAGACAGTCTG